TTTATATAATACGTCCCCGCCTAGCCCTACCTATGGGCCCTGAGCCAAACAAGTTTCCTTAACGCGAGGGCGTCCTTAAAGCGGGGTCGACTGCATCGGAGAATCTTAACATTCGGGACACTTACGTGGAGCTCTGTCCAATCAGTGACATTTTCGATTTTCGATTCTCGATTTTCGACGGAATAGTGGTCTGACAAGGTCCACCCTGATTTGAAAAGAGAATATGTGGTGGAACTGCTGCCGACTGCTGTGATTGTAGTTGCCCCCCTATCCCCAATCCAACCGTAAAGCACCAAAAAATACGTTAATGCGTCGATCTGTCACACGGGACTTGCACATCATCCATTTAGGTGTGGTTTTGTGAAGGGGCCGATACTTGACATCCCGCCTAAGAGCAAAACACCTGAACACAGCTGCACATACTTCGTCGTGACGCTCATACATTGACTACATACCTTCCTCCCCGTCTTCAGAAGCTACCTCTCGCATGTTGACCCCTCCTCGTCCCCCAGCCGCCGCCTCGCCCTTCCCGCCTGCTGCTACTCCCTTCCCCTTGGTGTCGAGGTACGCATCCCAGCCCTGGAGCACGTTTCCGTAGAGCCTGGTCTCCTCGAGATAGCTACGCTCTAGGTCGAAGATCTGCTTCTCGGTCTGCACCAAGCGCTCGTGCACGCTGGTGAGCGACTTGTCCAGACCCCTTACCCTCTTCTTCAGGTCCTTGGGCGTCTCCGAGGGTCGGACGTCCACCGAGGCTGCAGAGCCCTTTGCCGCCGCCTCTTTTGCCATTTATTCTGCTGCGTCCCTTAGGGCCGATCGAGGCCCACGACTAGTGTGGTGCCAGTGATGACAGTGAGTAACAGGAGCACCCCGCCGCCGTCGGCCGTCGGCCTAACGCACGGGAGGCCAACAACAAATAAAGGGGAGGTATTTGGTCCCGTGTTACATAGTACGGAGCCCCAAGGCCGCTGCTTGTGGTCTGTTTGCTGTTTGGTTTCCGGTTTCCACTTCGGAACAGTCGCAAACATTCCACAGAGAACACACCTGCATTAGGCAGCCTCCAGGCGACCACCTGAGACCCGTTTCCCTTCCCAAAACGTCGAGCACACAAGGATATGTCGATATCGGCGCCCTCCACCGCCGGTGGCAGTCTCACGGAGAACATAGGGCAGGTGCTTCAAAAAGGCAACAACAACAACAACAACAGCCCGGCGCTGGACTTGGGTCCTCCTGCCGCGCAACAGCAGCAACAGCGCCAAGGTTCCTCAGAAGCAGCAACAACAACAAGCACGAACGACGACGTGGCCTCTTCCCCGCCCAGGCGCGTCTTTCGGCGAGAGTCGAGGTACACTCCCCCCGGGTCGCCGGGCGGCCTGGACAAGGAGCAGTCCGTCAAGGAGCTCTATCAGTCCGCAAGGGATTCTTTTGATGGAGCGCTGCAGCCGAAGGCGGGGCTTGTCGCCCTCGAACACCCGGTGCGACAGGGCCCGAGCAGGATGGTGATGGAGCAGGACTGGACGGTGACGGCGGGAACGGCGGCAGCACCCGTGCCTGCGCCTGCGGAGGAGGAGGAGGAAGAGGAGGAGCCTTGGAGGCCACCGTCGCCGCAGCCCTCCCCGCCCCGTGTGCGGGACATCGTCCACAAGCTCCCAGCTTGCCTTCAGGAGGAGGTGGAGGAAGAGGAGGAGGAAGAGGAGGAGGAGGAGGAGGAAGAAGAAGAAGAAGAGGAGGAGGAGGAGGATAAGCAGGTGAGCGAAGTCTGTCTAGTGTACGGCTGTTGTGTTTTACAACGTACACACACCTGATCTTTCTCCCTCGCGTGCGCCAAATCTCTGTCACCAGCGCGGAACAATACCACTTGCAACACATTCGCAACATGACCCGTCGATTTCGCCCCGTGCTTTTTGGGTTCGGTACCTGTAGGTTGGGTCCATGTCCAAAGCCCCGCCTCGCCAAGACTGCGAACTGATATCTAGAGGCTGTGGGTGGCTATTATATTAGGAAAGCGTTGGGCCCTTTCTTTCGTTTCAGCGACACCATACTGTTGTCATGTAGCAACTGAGAGCTGGGAGGCAAGGCATAGACAAACATGTCGACGTTTCCTCTCCTGCGCAGCATCCGTCCAAGTACTATCTTGGAAAGAAGAACCGCAAGACCACCAAACGAGCTGCTGCCACCCTATCATACACCTGTGGTATGTAGAAAATCCAAAGCGGGGCAACCACTATCTGTACCTCACCCGGGGATGGATAGTTGTAGAAACACAGATCAAACGCGTATCGTGCTGGACTTCCGCGGATACAATCAAGCATATTTGTGTCCGTTCTGATTGTTGTTTTGACGCAATGGTTTCATTGTGGTCTCAAGGCTTGCACGAAGAAGATGCTCTTTAGTCACCCCTACCGCTGTCGAGCCTGGCTCAATTTCCTTGGTACGGACTGATGTGGTTAAGCCTACCACCGGCTAAACGCAGTTATGTGGAATAATGCAGCAGCGTCACGGAGTAGACTAAATGCCGAACGTGGCTGAGCGCGCCAGCGGTGACGTATTGCAAGGTCCGACAAGTTGGTGGCAAGAGCTTGGGAAATTATCTCGGAACATTCCTTTGGTCAGAGATTGGATATCTATCCGTGCGGAAGTTTGGATATCTATCCGTAGGAAGTTCTCGTTCGCGTATGTGTTCACTGCGCCGTGTTCCTTGTGAAGGTTACATTTTACATTTTTTGACACATAACATCACCGATAGTTTGTCCCCGGTATGTTGCCGTTGGCCAAGTAGAGAACAACAGGGGATGTGTTGCATCACTAGAAGTATGAACTGTGTTACCTATTAACAAGTTACAGAATGTTTTGTGCGTAGCACCAGCTAGTTCACTGGTAGAAATCAGTGTACCCTTAAAACCGGCCCAAAAATACACCCAGTACCCAGCCGGTTTCCCTCCACTCACTGCAAAGACATCCAACACAAGCCCTTCGACTGTTGTGGTTATATAACCTCGAACGGGGAGTCTTTCTGCGATTTATCATACTTTTCCTAGTGAAAGTATTTTGTAGAATAGACTACGGCTTAGAAAACGCTACACCCTGACCTTCGCGTGTATCGTACGAACAACGATAGAAGAACATGGCCATCCGGACTGAATGCATCCAAAACACGACGGAGTATGTAGCACATGCAAACGAGTCGGGCTCGAGCCTGTATATCGAGATCATTTTAGTCAAGTTTCCGTGACCCCAGCAGAGCGTTTCAACTACCGACGGGTGGATATGCGCTTAATGTTTGACCACCTCGCAGACACAACGTACATGCACCTATTCTGGAGGAATTCGATTAGAAACCGCAACAGCTGTCTGGCTGCATTCCAACAAGCACGAGGTTGGCTTAAAACCGTCGATTGGACATATCAACTGCAGCATGCCATGGCGGCGGAACTGCTGTCGGTGCGGCTCCAGGTTCGATCTCGGCTTGTCGGGCATGTGCGATACCCTGCATCCTTCCCGCACAAAAATCATAGCCTGGTTTGGTGTGTTGTTGTTTGTGTAATGGTTTTGGAGTAAGACAAAGTGGCATCGTAACTCGCTTCGCTCGCAGACACACTTCACGGGGTTCCGGACGCGGTGCAGTGTGCGGTTACAGTGCCGTGTGACTCGCTTCGCTCGAAGGCAATTGGCGAGGTTTCGGGCGCGGTGCAGTGTGCGGTCACAGTGTTGTGTGACTCGCTTCGCTCGAAGGCACTTAACGGGGTTCCGAGCGTCGTGCAGTGTGCGTCACAGGAGTGCCGTGTTGCTCGCATGTACTCAAAGGCAGTTTGTCCGCAGCAGCGTCATGTTCCCCCTTTCGAGGAGTTCCTTATTATGTGCTTCGTCACACACCGGTGTGCCTCTCCTCTCCTTCTATTGCACAAGGTGAATAATTGTTCGACCGTTCAGCAAGTGCATACTCCCCCTCGACACGTGTTGCCCCACCTAAACCGTTGTACAGAACTCCAGGCCACACACCCGCCCACCCGTCTG